ACAATGAGAGGAATTCCCAGCTAATTTTTTCCCTTAAAAATTAAAAAGATTAAGGAAAAAATTAATGGAAATCCTAAAAAAAAATGAAAAACTGAATTATTACCTGACTAACTCCTAATTAGCTAATTTTATGAACAACTTACGACTTTTATTAGGGATTTAGAAGTTTTATGTTCTTTCTTATATGTAAAAAAAATAACCTGAAGAGTTTTCACTTCTTCATTTTCCACCTCTCACGAGATTCGTCACTAGAATCCTCTTTATTACAACATACTCAACACCAGCCCACTCAACAACAGCCCAATACATACACCAACCCAATTCAAAATAAATGGCATAGTGCAACTAATCATGATAGAAACACTAATCATGATAGAAACGATAAAAGCTCCACATTGTAATTCTTGTTTAAGTTTGTTAGGAGGCCACGTGCTAGATAACCGCTTCTAGTTTTTCTGTTAGAGCATTTATCTTATTACACACCTGTATTAGAGATATATATGAAGTTGCACATGTATAGTCACATTCAAGATAATGAATTTCAGATTCACAAATATGTTTTCTCTGATCTTTGATTCTCAAGATGGTATCAGAGCTTAAGCTCTGATACTCTGCTTCGAATTCTTTCGATTTTTTTCTTTAGATGTTGTTTTCCATTTCTTCCTTGCAATGGATTTACCTCCTGTGATGAATCAACCACCTGTGATGAATCAGACTCCTCAATTGAATACCTTTCTTTGGTGAGTCAATCTTCCCTTCCTGAATTCTTGACGAATCCTTCTCATCCTTTTTTCTTGCATGCAAGTGAAAATCCATCTCAAGTGTTGGTTACTCCTCCACTGAATGGATCTAACTATCATGCATGGTGCCGAGCCATGACAATGGCTTTGAAATCTAAAAATAAACTTGGTTTTAATAATGGAAACCTTCCTCCACCATCAATTGATGATTCCACATTCGAAGCATGGGATCGATGTAATACCATAGTCCTTGGATGGATTCATAGATCCATTACTCAGAATATTTCTCAATCCATATTATAGATTGAAAAAGCCTCAGATGCATGGCATGATTTGAAACACAAATTTTCTCAATCGGATGTATTCCGTATGTGTGATTTGCAAGAGGATTTATATAAATTGTGCCAAAGAGATAAAAATATTAGTGAGTATTTCACTCTGTTGAAGACAATGCGGGAAGAATTGGAGAATTTGAAGCCAATTCCCACTCCAATAGCTCCATGTACATGTGGAGCAATAGCAAAAATGCGTGAGTATCGAGAAAAAGATCAGACTGTGAGGTTTCTTCGTGGCCTTAATGAGTAGTATTCTCATGTAAGGTCACAGATAATGTTGATAGATCCATTGCCAAATGTAGCAAAGGCTTTTTCTCTGGTGATACAACATGAGCGACAGATGCAGTCTGAAAATAATCTGAGCTTCACAAACAGTCACCAAACTCTTGTAGCAATAGGAGATCAGACAAGAAGGAACAATTATTTCAATAATGGAAGAGGCTATAGAGGACGTGGTCGCTACAATAATGGAAGAGGACAAAGCTTTGCAAAATTCTGTACACATTGTAACAGAAATAATCACACTATTGAGTTTTGTTATGTTCTACATGGATTTCCACCGGGGTACAGAAACAATGGAGGAAGAGGTGCTATGTCAGCTGCTAATGCAATCAGCAATTTTCAATCTCAAGGAGAAAATGTTATGAAGCATGATAATTCCTCAATGGCTGCCATTCAAGATTAGTACCAACACATACTGAATTTGTTACAGAAACCTAATGCTGGTGAAGCAATGCCTACACAGCATTTTGCAAATGCTGCTATTTTCTCACACACGAACACAGCTCCATCAGGTATAATCAATCTTGATTGGGTGATTGGCACTGGGGCTACAGACCACATAACCTTCCATTTGTCAAACTTTTCTTCATTTCATACAATTGACCCCATCACTATATCTCTTCCTAATGGTTCCACAATTAAAGCCACAATCTCAGGCACAGTAATCATTTCACCTTCACTTGTTCTTAATGAAGTACTTTTTGTTCCAGAATTTCATATTAACCTCTTATCTGTTACAAAGTTACTAAGTACCATTCCTTGCCTTTTCACTTTTGACACTTCTTATTGTCATATCCAACAGAAACACCAAGGCTACCAGATGACGATTGGTTCTGCTAAAAGGAAGGATGGGCTATATGTGATATCCAGTGATACCGATACCAACAACCATTACAAACCTGACCATTCTCTTTGTAATACCGTACAGAATAAGGAAGCTTCTATATTGTGGCATCAACGTTTAACGCACCTTTCAAAAGATGTTTTACAAGTCGTGTCGACTAAATACCCTTTTATATCATCTGCTCATATTAGTCCATGTGAAATTTGTCATTTGGCTAAACAGCATAAGCCTTCTTTCAATTCTAGTACCACAACAACAGTGCAACCATTTCAGTTGATTCATGTTGATATTTGGGGCCCCCAGTCTGTTAATTCAATCCATGGACACAAGTATTTCCTTACTATTCTAGATGATTTCTCGTGATTTACTTGGCTTTTTCTTATGCAAACCAAAGCAGAAACTCGTAGACATTTACAGCATTTTGTGATGCTTGTTAAGAACCAGTTTGACACTCATGTTAAAGTAGTGAGATCTGACAATGTTCCTGAATTCATGATGGTTGATTTTTATGCTAAAGAGGGAATCCTACACCAAAGAACTTGTGTCGAAACACCCCAACAGAATGGGGTTGTAGAACGAAAGCATCAACACATTTTGAATGTTGCACGTGCATTATACTTTCAAGCTCAGCTTCCAAGCTCTCTTTGGTGCTATGCCATTACACATGCAGTTCATTTGATAAACCGCATCTGCACACCCAATCTTCACAATATGTCCCCATATGAAAAGTTATACAATGATGTCCCTACTTTTATTCATCTGCGAGTGTTTGGTTGTCTTACTTATGCATCCACACTATCAGCTAACCGTACAAAGTTTTCACCGAGAACATAAATAGCAGTATTCCTGGGTTATAGAGAAGGGACAAAATGATACTTATTATATGATCTTAGTTCAAATGAACTTTTTCTCTCACGAAATGTTGTATTCTATGAGAAGATTCTGCCTTTTGTCCATCCTACATTTACATATGATAACCCTGACAGCAACTCATTGCCTTATATGCATATTGAAACCAATTCGAACCTTTCCCCCAACTATGACAGCTCCACTTTCTTTAATACACCAATTTCAAGCTTTACACCCTATACTGCAGTCCCTCCATCCCCCAGTACTCAGCCCAATAACCCTATCACAGATGATACACCAATTCCAAGCTCTACACCCTATTCTGCAGTACCTCCAGCCACCAATATCCCACCCAATAATCCTATCCCAGATGTGGATCCTTTATCATCCCAACCTTCAAATCCGATTACCTATCCCAACCTTGCTGCATCACCTACACCAGACGACTCTGCCATCCCAGCAGTTCGTCGTTCCTCTCGTATCAGTCATCCTCCTAGATATCTTCAAGATTATCACCATAGCTTGTCCTCCAGGCAGCAGAATCATCCATCATCAGGTATCCTCTCTATCCCATACCCTCGTCATCCTTTATCTCAAGTTATTTCTTATAATTCTTGTACTCCTTTATACAAAATTTTTTGCCTCAATGTTATCACCAATGTTGAACCTCACACATACAAACAAGCCATTAAAAGTGCAGCCTGGAAATCAGCTATGGACAAAGAATTATCTGCTTTAACTCTTAACAACACTTGGATAGTAGTTGATCTACCTTCTCATAAAACACCCATTGGTTGCAAATGGGTGTACAAGATCAAATACAAGTCCAATGGAGAGATAGAATGCTACAAAGCAAGATTGGTTGCAAAAGGCTTTACACAACTTGAGGGAGTGGCATAGTGCAACTAAGCATGATAGAAACACTAATCATGATAGAAACAATGACAGCTCCACATTGTAATTTTTGTTTAAGTTTGTTAGGAGGTCACATGCCAGATAACTGCTTCTAGTTTTTCTGTTAGAGCATTTATCTTATTACACACCTGTATTAGAGATATATATGAAGTTGCACATGTATAGTCACATTCAAGATAATGAATTTCAGATTCACAAATATGTTTTCTCTGATCTTTGATTCTCAAGACTCTTTCCTTTTCTCTTTTAACTCTATGCTAATATGCATTTTTATCTCCTTGTTTTCACGTTTCAATTACTCTTTCTAATTTAAAAATGAGTTTATTGTTTCTCATGTTACAGAAAATAAATGTATCTCCTATTGTATCAAAAATAAAAAAAAGTTATCTCTTATATACACATAAAATTATATGAGACATTTTTGTTCCTTTCTTTTCTTCTTCTTACATGGGCCCGACACACATAAAATCACACATTTTTATGTATACAGGAGACACATTTATTTCAACATGATAAAAGTTAAACCCTTTAAAAATTGTGCCCTTTCCCATGGCACTCATCTCGTTCATTTCTCATCATCTGTTTACGTTAATGAAATGATTTTATTTTATTTTTTGTATAATTTGTCTTCTTTTATTTAATATCATTAATTTGTTTTATTTAATCATCTTCTTGAACTCTAATTTTTATAACTTTTTCTGAAATGATAATTTGAAACTTTTTTTTTGGTAATAATAATGTGAAACTTAATTACTTGTGATGCATGCTCTTGTATAATAGTTTTCATTCCCTTTTTTCTATAACAACGTTACACTAACACATTCTCTCTATAATGTATATAGAGACTATTGATTTGATTGAGAATAGGAAGAATTTACAAAAAGAAATAAACAAAGTGACAGTAAAATGGCACAGGAAAACGAAGAAATTAGAGAGATGCAAAGAAGAAAACAAAAGTAGATAGATAGAAAGCCATCAACTTAATAATACACATATTTACAAAATTTCAATGCTGAGATATTTTAATTTGAAAACTCAAGTCATATGCTTTGCTATGATCTTGTTTTGTTGCTCCAACCATAGTTGTTGTAGCTGCAACAAAGTTTGATCTTGTATTGACACATTAGATGTTTGTTCATTGGTGTTTGCACAAGGCCATGGCCCAAAGGGATCATCTTCTTTGTGTGTTGCCCATTTTGTCTCATTGCAATCCCTTGCACTAAAAGTTGGTGCTACTGTTGAATTATAAAAATCCTGTGCTTGAAAGTTCAGAGGAACAATACTCATGTCAGGATTCTGAGCACTATTGTTTGGTGCTTCCATTGTGGCATTAACATTTGAGTTATGCACTTGAAATGTTGGTGATGAATCATTCTTAAAATAACATTGACCCTGGAAGCTTGGTGAAGCAATCATCTCATCAAAAGTTTTAGTATGAAATGTTTGTGGTACTGTCATGTTGATCTCTTCAAAACCTTGAGCTTTGAAAGTTGGTGCCATTGTTGTTTCATTTGGATTTATGTCACCAAAAATTAGACCAGAATTTGTTATGGAATGAGATTTTTGATCTGAGAAGGTTGATGCAAGAGGATCCTGAGCATAAAAGGATGGTGCTGTTGCATTAAATGTTGCTACAACATCAAAAACATTATCAAAACTTGTAATGGTGGTGGCAGGAGGAGCAACAGTTCCTATGTCTTCCAAGAACGGATTGTATGTGTGTTGAGGTACTATAGCTTGATCAAATATGGTGACAAATGGGTCAAATCCATTTTCCAATTTGGGTGATGTTTCTATTGGTGCAGCAGATACTGTCTTTGCCAACACTATCTCCCAACAATCTATGGAACCATTATCGGAACCTGTTTTTGTGTTTTGTACCTCACTTTCATTTGTTTGATTTTGTTGCACTTCCTGTTGCAAATCATCAAAGATTACTATGTCCAAACTTGACCTTGATGTTTGATCAACTGGCAATGATTTGGTAGAGCCAGAACCATTTGCACTAGCAAAGTCATCATATTCTGATTGTTTCTCATCTTGGTCTGATTCCTCAGAATCCGTAACTTGCTCAAGGGACCTTCTGGGACTCAAAGCAGCATCAGTAGCACTCATGAGATCTTCCAATGATGTACATTGAGACCCAAACTCAGATCCAGTCTCAAAAAACCTTTCAAGTGTACTACCATATCTTTCACTAGCTTCATCTTGTGATGAACTTGAACAACCTGCAGGGTCCTTTGGTAAAATAAAGTGTTTTGAATCATTATTTCCATGGAATGAGGATTGGTCCTTTAAGAACTCTTGTAATGTCTCCATAAGCTCTTCAGAAACGTTTTGCACACTAGGGTACTCATATGACCTACCAACCCCAATGCTTGAACAAAAAGAATAAAAAGTTGATAACTCATCAAATTGCCTATAAGATTTTACACAAGCATTGAATGCAGTAACACATGAAGAAAGTGGTAAATGAAAGAAGCTATCTAAAACAACAGCAAGCCCATCAGAGATATCCCTATAAAGATCAAAACTTTCTTGCACAATAGCATAGAGCGAAATCTGAACCAAACGATTTGTCTTGGCTGCCCCTGTTGGTCTTGTGCCTATTGCTCTATCCAACAACCTTTGCCAATAAGGGATTCTATCAAGAACCATTGTTGGTTTCATGTCTTTAATAATACCTGGCTCTTTTGATAGCTTGTTCCTTTGATTCTTCTCATGAAACCTGTTATCATATGTGAATCTCCTTTGAAGCTTTCCTGTTAGGAAGCAATCCAAGCGTTCATCAAGGTACAAAGCAAATGTCCTAATAAATGCCGTGTAATCCCAAGGACTAGAATTGGAATCATCTTTAAAATTTGAAAGGTTGAGAATTTTGGCACCCCTTTTCATTGCATGGAAGACTTCCCTAGGAAAATATGGATCACCATCTTGAAATATTCTAAGGACAATCATGAGAGATTTAAGGGCAACAACCCAATTGCGGGTCTTGCCAATGCGTTTGCCTATGCATTGTGCACATGCAGCTGCATACACTTTGTTAGAGGAAACTATGTTCACAATTTCATTCACATAACGCTCTTCAATTGGATTTTTATCATGTGTTGTGGCTTTAAGAATTGTGACCTCAAGATTTGCTGCATTTGTTACCTTTGCTAGGCTAATGCTAGTTTGATCCTTCACTGCTCCAATTGCCTTCCTTAGCTTGCTTGGCATGGTGAATCAAATTAAATTAATAATCCTTGTTGTGTCTCCTATCAGGATTTGAACATGATTAAGCATTTCAAGTTTGTTGTAAAAAAAATTTCTAGGAAAAGTTGAATATGGAAGTTGTTCAGAATGGAAATGACATGGAAGATAGAGTATGGACGTTCAATTTGATTCTATTTTTAGTTAGTGAATTTTGATGGTGGAGAGTAAACGTGGGAGAGGAAACCTGAGCATGCCAGAGTTTCGGTTTTTTTTTTTTTTTTGGTTGACCAATTTATAATTGAGTTAATAATTTAACTTCATACTCTATTAACATTTTCTCATTTTTTTTCTAATTAATGATATTTTTATTGAGTAAACACTTCTTTTAATCCTCAAAAAATACAGGTAACATTTTTTGGTCATTCTAATAAAATTAACAATTTATATCCTCCAATTACAAAAATGAGATATCAATTTCATCCACTAAAAAAATTTGACATCAATGTACTCCATCAATCATAAAAAATTACGTCAATTTAGTTATAGTATTAATGTAGTTACAATAGATATATTGAATTAAATTTAGGTAAATATTAGATATCTTTACCAAATTTTTACGTCCGATTATACTTTCAATTAATTATATATTACAACTAAATCTAGAATACAAAAAAATTATACAGGTACATTAAATATATATTATTGCCTTCAAACTAATATATATTGTTACATTTATGATTCATTATACCTACTATACACTTATTTAATTGAAACAAATAATTAAATATATAAGTCATCATTTTAATAATTGATTAAATCTATAATATAATTATTGGATTAAATACATATATTTTAGGGAAAAGTTCACCAATGCCCTTGTGGTTTGCTTCAGAATCACCTATGCCCCTGTGGTTTTTTTCTATCACATATGCCCATGTGGTTTGTAAAAGGGTATGTTTTTTATCACATATGCCCCTGTGATTTTTTATTTTTTTACAAAGCACAGGGGCATATGTGATAGGAAAAAAACCACAGGGGCATAGGTGATTCTGAAGCAAACCACAGGGTCATTGGTGAACTTTTCCCTATATTTTAAGGCTTTAATGTTTCTAGAGTGAATGTAGATAAGTTATCAATCTATATTCGCTCCCAAAACGACGTCGTTTTGGGTTGAAAAATTAAAAAATTATAATAAAAAAGACTATTATAACCCTAAAATAAATTATAATTACAAAAATATCTGGATTTCTGTCTCAAAACGACGTCGTTTTAGGCTCAATATAGATAAGTTATCTACATTGACTGCAAAAAAGTGAACCCATATTTTAATTATAATTTTATAATAATATGACAAAATTTACACCATTTATCAAAGAACTCCGTGCATCACACGTTAAAAACAAGTTTATATAATCAGTTACTTCTCTCGTAATTTTTTGAGCATTTGAATTTTAAAATTTAATTAAAATTACTAATTAATATTTGACAGAAAAAAGCTTATTAGTTTAATTGCAAGAATAGAAATATAATAAAAGTGCAGGATAAATACACCTAATATCAATCATTTTAAGAACCAATTCCGAATAAAAAGCATGTAATTTAAGTTTCAATTGTCAATACAATTCAAACGCTGATTTCAACAAATGAATTATAGACAATTTTCAATATAATTAATTAAAGTTTCTTAATTTATAAAAATATAAAAGTAAAAAATATATTTAAGCAATTTTAAAAAATTAAGTATACGAAACTTTGACCTCGGGATCGACTCCTCCGGGTCATTGACCCTCTCTCTATCTGAGAGTTCGGTTTAGTAGTTAGACTTTACTTGCGCGTTGACCCCTCTAACCTCCGGATGAACCCATAACTCTTGGGTCAGAGAGGTCAAAGAGGTCACTGCATTTAAAAAAAATTATACACGAAATTATGTCGTTTGATGTGTAAAAAAAAATAAACAAAACAAAAACTCGTTGTTGCCTAGATTTAAAACTAGATCTGAAATATAAATCGTTCTTCTTCTTCTCTTCCAATCTTCTCTCCTAGACCCAGACCGGTCTCCCTGTCCCGGTGATCTCCTCCACAATGCTGTTCTTCTCTCCCCACCATTAATTTGTCGTGTCAGCGCCTCTCCTCCACTATCCTCTATTGGGTAAGAGATCTCATTTCACATACTGTTGTAGGTGCATGAGAAGGACAAGAAAAGTCTGAGTTTGATGATATAACTTTTCATTAACTCCATTGGAATATGTGTTTTATACTTTGATAGTTTGATACTTTGATTAACTTGTGAATATTGACTTGTGGATGTAATTTGTTGAATTATGTTAAGTATATTTTGCATCTTTAATGATTGTGGTTTGATTTTTTTGAATTTTTCATATAGAATATATATTTATATTTTTTTAATATATAAAATCGGGTCAGCGAAGTGACCCCATGACCTCCCGGTTGAACCCGTGAACCCATGACCCCTGACCTCGGCCGAGTCGATGGCCGGACCGAGTTTTTAAACATTGGTAATGGATACTCTACATCAACAACCTATGTTGCACCAACACCGATACGGGACACGGGATACGACACTACATGACACTCCGACACGTTAATTCTAAAAAATGTTAAATTTCGACACGTTAGGACACATTTTGATATTATATAATATTTTTAATTTATGTAATGTATATTATATTTAGTATTCAATAATTTAACAAAAAAATAAAGCTAAACTTATAATACCCATCAATTTTCCAAAGAAACATAATATATCCCAAATATTTATATTAAACTCAATAAAATCGTAATCATAATCTAACGAATCGAATAGTTGAAACTCAAAATGCAACGCAATATAACTTTTGAATCTTTTTTGAGTCTTTGCAACAAGTATATTGTAGTGTCGAGAATTCGGAGGGTCAGTAAGTGTCGTACACAACATGTCAAAATTTTTGAAGTGTCGGTGCTTCATCAGCCACCAAAGTTAGTTATCACAAAAACCGATCTAATTAATTTCATTAATTATCTTCACTGCTTAATTTATGGTACATAAATTCCTCTCATGCTAGTAGTAACATAAACTTTTACTTTTTTTTTTTTTTTCCTTTTGTTTTGGAGTCAACTAAACCCCCAAAACCCTCATTTCTTCTTGTCTGCACCTTAGTTGCAGAAGTTGCCACAAAATTACAGAGAAAACCAGAATCAACTCATCACCAATTCAAAAAAGCTCAGATCTTAAATGGCAGCAAAGAAACCATGGAGAATCATTCCAAGACCCCTCTTAGAAACCATTCTAAACAACCACGCTCACCACCACCGCGTCCATCAACCCCTCCTCCTTCACGGCCCCAGAGGCGTCGGAAAAACCACCCTCATACTCCAACGTACCTTTCTCTATCTCTCTTTTTCTCTCTATAAATTCACTTTCTCTAACCCATTTTACCTTTCCCATTCACAGGTTTACTCGGCGACTGGAACAAAGGCCCTCACATCACCGGTTACGTCGACTTCGCCGAATCCATCAAAGATCACAACCAACCATCTCAGGCCCAATCATCTCCGTGGGCCTCGTGGTCCAATGGCCCACGGCCCGCACTCTCCGATTGCCGGAAAAGCCTCGAGCAATGCCTGGAGTCCATGGCCGAGAAGGCTGTCCGGAAAGGCACCATCACCTCCCAACAGATATTCACTTCCCTCAACAAATGGCACGGCCTCACCGCCGCGCTCCGCCGCGTGTTACATGCTGCTTCCCCCAAATCCCCTGTCTCAGACAGGGCTTCGCCGGTTGCTCTGTGGGACCGAGCGATATTCGCGCTATCTGCTCGATGTAATGCCGCTGAGATTGAATCTGTTTTGGGGAAGAATAATAAGAAGGGCTTGTCTGTTGAGGAGGCTTCTTATTTTAAGGAATCTGTTGTTGCCCTGAAGCTCGCAAAGAAGGTGATTGAGGTTAAGCAAGGGTGGAGGGCGAATGCCATCGCGCATATGAATCGGACCGGCGTGTTCTCTCGGAGTTTGACGCATTCTTGTACTGATTGGCCTTGCTTGTTGTTGGAGTTGTTATCACAGGCTGCTGAAATTGACAATTTTCAGGTACTTGCATTGTTTGTTTCCCACATTATGCAATCTAATTGTGGAATAAAAAGATACATTTCATGCTGCAAAAATGAGTTTCTTTTGCTAAGGTAATAGAAAGAAAAAACTCTCGTGTAATGTTTTATGTGATATGTTAGCCTGTTTAGCTAGTTGAACTGGTGTAGTAGTCGCCGTACTGAACCTCCTAGATTAATATCACTTCAACCTTGCAGTTAGTTAGTTAGTTTAGTCCACGTGGCTTTCTGTTATAACCACTCTGAACTGTTTCAGTTCATTAGTTTAGTTTGAGCTGAAGCTTGCTCTGCAATCCTTGTACATCTTCATAACTACTGTTGCTGTGATTCAGAACAGGATGCAAGAGTTTTCACTTTCTTCCCCTTTCTCTGTTTTTCTCACATTTTCTCTTCATTTCAGTTACAAGGCATCACACTCTGTTCTTATTTTGTCTATGCTTTGAAATGAACTTGGATTGCATACCCCTTGTGTAGTGTCTTGTGATGTTCAAATTGATGATTATTAAGTGAACTGCAGCCGAAGCTGGTTATTAACAATATCGAAGTTCTAAAGCATGCTACTATAAATAATGAGTTGTCAGTCAGTGGACCACTATATCATGATAGTCTGATATGGAGAATAATTGCTTTGGGTGCGAATGAGCAGTGTCTGCCTGTTATCCTGGTGACATCTGATAGGTGATTATCTTTGTTTATCTCATTTCCTTCCTCTCTACACATTTTGTTACAGTTTAGTCTACACTATTCTTCTTAAACGGTCACTGGAATCAGATTAATTTTTTTTAGCCATTATGGCCTTCAAAATTTATGTTTGTTAAGCTTATTGTTTTCCAATGAAACATTTCAGAATTTATTTATGCATTGGTTTCCTTTGGCAGGTGAGGCCCTGTAACACAGGCTTAGATGGATTGTCTAGTATTCATTGCCTTTACTCTATAAAATTTGTTGGACAACTTTAAATTGCTTGCTGTTAGAATAGATATGATTAGATATGATTAGATTTGAATAGATTACTTCCTATCTGTAAATATTCTTTTGGATTAGTTTTGGGCTTCTCACTTAAGCCCATTAGGGTCTCTATATATTGTAACTCTTTGTATCAGATTAATACACAACATATTATTTCATATTCAAGTTGGTACCAGAGCTCTTTTGTTCTGGGGACCCTCACTTCCGCTTAAAACCTTGTTTTCACTTTAAAACCTAAGCCCACTGCTTAGGAGTCCTCTTTTCTTTGCTGTGCGTCCTTCCGGCAAGCCATCTAGGGCTGTAAGCCCCTTTTGAGTAATTTCCGAACGCGTCAGCACCTTCGACGGCCACCGGAACCACCGTCCGTCACCGTTCAGGCCGCCGGAGAAGTTTTCCGGCGAGTTTTTAGCCCAGACCACTCGCGAACAGGACCGTCTCCTCCTGGCGACCAAGTCTGTGGAAGTCCGACCACCATCGCAGCCATCACGCGCCGCCTGTCTCCTCTGCGCGTGGTGCTCACGCGCCACCTTCTGCCGGTGTGTGTGCACTGTTCCGGTGGAATTTTTCGGCCGTTCTTGGACAGAAAAGCTCGTCCTCTCCTCCCTTTTCCAGATCTGTGATTGGATCTTTGTGGGTCTCACTTTTTGTGCGCGCCTCTTCTTGATTTGTGATCAGGTTCGTTCCTATTTACTCGGTTTATACCCTTGTGATTTAATATAATGGCAGCAACTTCTCCTGTTCATTCGGAGGTCAATTCTCCCTCTCGTCTTGTCAAAAGTTTTTCTAATATCATCTCCACCAATGTTGGGCCCATTACCTCTTCAAAGTTGAAGGGTTCTGTTAATTACAAGAACTGGGCCACCTCTGTTCGAGTTTGGTTCTTTGGACAGGGACATGGTAACCATCTCACAACTAAATCTACTGATATTCCTAAGGAGGAAAAATCTGATTGGGAAAGGATTGACAACCAGCTTCTGAGTATCCTTTGGCAGTCTATTGATCCAGTCGTCTTGGACATCTTCTATTCTTTTCAAACTTGCATTGAAGTGTGGGAGGAAGCAAAACACCTCTACACTAATGATGTTCAGCAGCTCTATTCCATCATGTCTCAGTTTATGGATCTACGCAAATCATCTGACACTCAGATGGAGACATATGTTGGAAAAAGTCGATCTTTGATGCTGGCATATTTGGATATGTTGCCCTACCCTACTGATGCTTCTGCATATCGGAAACAGGTGGAACGTCTCTTTATGGTTGCCACACTTTCTGGTCTCCCCGAAGAATATGATAATGTCCGGGATATTATCTTGACTAGTGGGGATCCTGATCTATCAATGATGTATCAGCGTCTTCTGAATCTTAATAAGAAATCTGCTCTTGCATCGTCTGTTGTTGTTGATTCCACTGCTCTAGTTTCCCGTACTGACTTTCGCGGGAACATTGGAGGTGGACGTGGTCGTGGACGTGGCCCAGGAGGACGTGGTCAGCGACCTCGTTGTCATTATTGTCAGCAACTTGGTCATTATGAGGAACGTTGCTACACAAAGTATCCTCACCTGCGACCTTCTCATGCTGCTAATATAGCTCAATCGAATACTGCTTCAAATGGTACAGTCTCTCTCTCCTCTAAAGACTATGCAACATTCCAGACCCTTCTCAGGAAGGCCTCCCCTTAGTCTCAGGCCTCTGCTTCAGAAACTGGTAATCCCGTTGCTTGTGTTTCTCATTCTGCATCACTTGGTCCTTGGATATTTGACTCAGGTGCTACTGATCACCTCTGTGGTAATAAGGAGCTCTTTTCATCCCTTACATATTCTGATAATTTACCCTCTTTCACTCTTGCTGATGGCACTAAGGCCTTTGTTCATGGGATTGGAGAAATCTGTCCAACCTCCTTATTGACCTTGACATCTGTCTATTACATTCCTGACATCCCTTATAATTTAATATCTGTTAGTAAATTGATCAACTCTCTTAACTGTATTGTCACCTTCTCAAACCATTCTGTTTCTGTGCAGGATCCGAGTATGGGGAAGACGATTGGAGTGGGCCGTGAGTCACGGGGTCTGTTCTACCTGGTTGTGCCGAGTCCTTCAGTTGCTTGTTCTCTCACAAAATCTCCACAACTCATCCACAGTCGCCTCGGGCATCCTAGTCTTTCAAAAATACAAAAGATGGTTTCTCTTTTATCCGGTCTTCAAACTTTAGATTGTCAGTCATGTCAGCAAGGGAAGCACATACGCTCCTCTTTTGCTAATCGAGTCAATAAACGAGATGATGCTCCTTTTTCAATTATTTATTCAGATATTTAGGGTCCTAGTCGTAGTGTGTCTGTTTTAGATTTTCGGTATTTTGTTACCTTTATTGATGATTTTTCACGTTGTACTTGGATTTATTTAATGAAAAACCGTTCTGAGTTATTTTCTATTTATCAAAAATTTTCTGCTGAAATTCATACTTAATTTGGTGCTTCTGTTCATATTTTACGTAGTGATAATGCTAAGGAATATGTTTCTGTTGACTTTTCTAATTTTTTAGCCACACAGGGTACTTTACACCAAACTACTTGTCTTCACACTCCACAACAAAATGGAGTAGCTGAACGTAAAAATAGACATCTCATTGAGACTGCACGGACTCCTCTTATTCACATGCATGTTCCTCTTCACTTCTGGGCCGATGCAGTCCTTGCCTCTTGTTTTCTCATCAACCGTATACGCCGTCATCTATGCTTAATAATGACATTCCTTATAACTTATTGCTTCCAGATGTTCCTCTCTATCCTCTATCACCACATGTCTTTGGTTGTACCTATTTTGTTCATGATCTCACTCCTGGTAAGTACAAGTTAACATCCAAAGCCTTTAAATGTATTTTTCTTGGTTATTCTCGTCTTCAAAAAGGTTATCGTTGTTATTCTCCCGATCTTAAGCGTTACTTTGTTTCCGCTGATGTCACTTTTCTTGATCAACAACCCTTTAATTCTATCCCATCTCAATTGTCTCAGGTTGATCATGTTCTTCCTGTTTCTTTTCTTGACTTGTCTTTGCCAGTTGCAGGTGCTTCTAGTCCAGATGAGCAACCTATTGCTTCCATACCTGAGGACCGTCCACTTCTCACCTATTAGCGTCGCAAAACTGTGCCTCCTGTCGACTCGACTCTTGCTGACTCATCGCCCACTGCTGTTGATTCTTCCCCTCCGGCTCTTTCACCAGAGGCTCTTCCCATTGCTCAAAGAAAAGGTACACGTACTACTCGTAACTTTTATCCTCTTTATACCTTTTTGAGCTATGACCGTCTTTCTCCACCTCATTTCACCTTTGTTTCTAGTCTTTCTTCTGTTTCTATTCCTAAGACCACAGGTGAAGCACTTTCCCATCCAGGGTGGCGCCAAGCGATGCTTGATGAGATGACTGCACTTCATTCCAATGGCTGCTCCTCTAGAGAAGTCTATAGTTAGTTGTCGTTGGGTTTTTACTGTGAAAGTTGGACCCGATGGCCATGTTGATCGACTCAAGGCACGCCTAGTTGCAAAGGATTTTACTCAAATCTCCGGCCTTGATTATAGCGATACTTTCTCTCCGATCGCTAAGATGGCGTCAGTTCGCCTATTTTTTGCTCTTGCTGCTGTTCGTCACTGGGCACTCCTTCAACTTGACATCAAAAATGCCTTTCTTCATGGTGATTTACAAGAAGAAGTTTATATGGAGCAACCACCTGGTTTTGTTGCTCAGGGGGAGTCTGGGAAGGTGTGTCGTCTTCGCAAATCCTCATATGGTCTCAAGCAGTCTCCTCGGGCATGGTTCAGTCGCTTCAGTTCTGCTGTTCAGGCGTTTGGCTGAATTCGTAGTAAAGTTGACAATTCTGTATTTTATAGGATCACATCTCCTGATAAGTGCATCTATTTGTTAGTCTATGTTGATGACATCATTCTCACCGGGAGTGATCAAGCTGGAATTCGTCAGTTAAAACAGTATTTATTCAGTCAATTTCAAACTAAGGACCTCGGGAAGCTGTGTTACTTCTTGGGAATTGAGGTAGCACAATCTAGACAGGGCATTTCTATCCGTCAAAGGAAGTATGCCTTGGATATCCTAGAAGAGACTGGTATGTTGGGGTGTAAATCAATTGATACACCCATGGATTCCAATGTCAAGTTATTGCTCGGAAAGGGAGAGCCGTTATCTGATCCTGGTCGTTATCGGAGGCTAATTGGGAAGCTCAATTATCTTACTGTGACTAGGCCAGACATTTCTTTCGCTGTTAGTACGGCTAGTCAGTTCCTTGATTCCCCTTGTGATTCTCATTGGGATGCTGCTGTGAGGATCCTCCGATACATCAAAGGAGCACCAGGAAAAAGGTTTGTTGTATTCGGATCAGGGAAATACAGAAATTTGTGGTTATTCAGATGCTGATTAGGCAGGATTACCCTCAGACAGGCGCTGTACTTCTGGCTATTGTGTCTTCTTTGGAGGAAACTTAATTTCTTGGAAGAGCAAGAAACAACCTGTTGTTGCTCGATCTAGTGCAGAAGCTGAGTATCGTGCAATGGCAATTACTACATGTGAGTTAATCTGGTTAAAGCAGTTGATTTAGGAGCTTCATCTTTGTGAACAGAAACAACCCATGACACTCATTTGTGATAATCAAGCTGCGCTACATATATCCTCTAATCCTATATTTCATGAGAGAACCAAACATATAGAGATTGATTGTCACTTCATTTGAGAAAGGATTCAGTTAGGAGAAATCAAGACAGCTTTTGTCAACTCTAATGATCAACTAGCGGATGTCTTCACTAAAGCTCTTAGAGGTCCTCGGGTTGAATACATTTATAGCAAGCTTGGTGCTCACAATATATACGCACCAGCTTGAGGAGGAGTGTTAGAATAGATATGATTATATATGATTAGATTTGAATAGATTACTTCCTATCTGTAAATATTCTTTTGGATTAGTTCTGGGTTTCTCACTTAAGCCCATTAGGGTCTCTATATATTGTAACTCTTTGTATCAGATTAATACACAATATATTATTTCATATTCAAGTCTTGCTATTGAAATTTTGAGAGCTTATAGAATTTTGGTATCTTCTTCTCATTTTCAACTTTATAAATAAGTACAAATTTTCAGGAGAATGCACTGCAACTTTTTTCATTAATGTATTAAACTTCTGACTAGCTATATGATAGTATAATATGTGGAAAACTATTTGAAGCAAATGATGGAAAGTGCACTATTAGATGCCAGGACCAGAATAGTTAGAATCGTTTCTAGTGTTTTTCTGTTGCAATTCACTGCTTTTTTAGCAAACATTTTTTGTGATCATTACAAGTAGTCAATTATAATTTCTTTAGTACTGCAGTATATTAAACGTTTGCCTATACACTCGGTAGTTAAATGTTTTGCATGGCCATGGGTCTAGGTTGACATCCATGTAATCCACACTCAGCACACTTTGTTTTTTTTAGTGTTTTAATTGTAATATTTGGTGCCACCATTTCTGTGGTTATTTTATTTTTCTTTCCGAATTCTAACACCTTGTTGTTTGCATCAGTTACTATTCATACGAAGCTTTCTTGGATTTTGGTTATATGGATATATTCATTTCACGTGAGGTACTTTAATAACTACCATCCTCCTTCTCTCTCCCTCTCTCTCTACATACACACACACACATGCACGCACACATCCTGAGATTTTATATGCGAATTGGGTTCAAGATACATGAACAAATATGCTCTTGTTTGCATCCCTCCTTTGAATTACACATGGTATATGAAAAGCAGGATTAATCAATCTACAGCTGTTTTGTTTAGAATGTCTCCCTGCCTCCCTTCCTAGGGAAGAAACCAAATGTGATAAATTAGTAATAGGATAAAATACACTTTACCTTCTGAAGTTAGGTTTTCTAGGCTTGGAAAGTCTAAAGGAAAAAGAAAATGTGAACTTATGTCAGTGCCCCACACAACTCTCAAAAGGGTTTACCAATGTTCGACAAGGTTTGTACAGGGTTATGCAGCTTGGCATTTATAAAATCTAGTATTGGCAGTGTTCTTATAGCATCACTGTACTTCTCACTATGTGGGTCTATAGTAAGTAGCTTTACCTTGCATTTGCAAGAGGCTAATTCTATGACTTGAACTTGTGACCTCTAGGTCACATGGCGACATCTCCAACTTCTGTCCCAATGCTTCACTTCCTAATTAGGTAGAAGTGAAGTGAAAGATAATTACCTACAGAGAATAACATTAAGAAACATCATCATTTAACCAAAACAATTTAGATTTTAAAATTGGTTTTAGTACCTCAAGTTTTTTGTTTTGTTTTACTTTTTTATTCTTCGTTTTGTGTGTTGTTTCTTCTTGGGAATACTAAACTCTTAGTAATAAGAATTAGAAACCAAAAGCTTGTAAACGAAGATGCACTCCTTGTTCATTAACTCCCTGATTCTGCCAAAAACTCCACCACTTCCCTCTCTTTGATTGGCGAAAATTTTCTTGATTGATGGGGGGTGGGTAACAAAAGTCAGAGAAAATCCTTTATATAGTTTCATTTATAAGCACATTTATCGGAATCCATTTGAGACTGGTAACAATATGGCATAATATCATCATCATAATTTCACCAAATCCAAATGCAACAAAGAACTAACAATTATAGATAGGTTGTGTAAGAGATGCTACTCTTGCCGAAATTGTAATAAATATCATGTAAGGGAGATCTCAAAGCTCACAAAAAGTGAGTATTTCTGCTTCACCACGAGTGAATGGCTGAATGCTCCTCAAATTTAGTATTCAGTACTCTTTTTCAGACATATGCATATTATATCCACTCAGTCTAAAGAAGTAATATTACAACAAATGAATGTTTGTTTGAAGACTGTAAAGAACCTTGGGATACACCACCCCAAAAGCTAGCTCAAAGGGTGGGAGTGCCCAAAGCCTTATAAACTCCACATTAGTTGCTCGTACAACCAATGTGGGACTATATATCTCAACACGCCCCCTCACACGAGAGCCCATTTGGGCTTGAAGAGTGGAAGATGCAACAGGCCCAGCCTACCTGTGCTAAGAAAGTCCACAAGAGAAAGTGGGGGGCGGCGAGGCTCTGATACCATGTAAAGAACCAATTCAATCCAAAAGCTTAAGCTGTTGGGTGAGGCTACATTAATGGCTTTATATATCTCAACACGCCCCCTCACACGAGAGCCCACCGGGCTTGCAGGGTGGACAATGCACAGGCCCACTTACCTGTGCGAACAAAGAAATTCCACTTGAAAGAAAGTGGGGGGCAGTGAGGATCGAACCCGGGACACGAGGCTCTGATACCATGTAAAGAACCTTGGGATACACCACCCCAAAAGCTAGCTCAAAGGGTGGGAGTGCCCAAAGCCTTATAAACTCCACATTAGTTGCTCGTACAACCAATGTGGGACTATATATCTCAACAAAGACAAATCAAGTGCTTCCTTTCTCTTCTTTCGTCTGATGCTGTGTTTGGTTTTGCACTGGACTATTACACTTGAATTTTTGGTGCTGAAACTTGGTCAGACATGCACTTAGAATTACAAGTACTGGTTTGGTGCCCAAAGCCCATGTAAGAAGAGCTTTGTGAAATGGAGGAGGTCCCTTTTCAATTTGGTTGCACTTGACCATTGGTTGGTATCTGGTTTTAATGCTACAACCCCGTTCCCAAATGTGCCTCAAGCAGCTTAACTACGGCAACTATAGTGAGGGAGTGCTGCAACGAAAGAGAGATGAGAACTATTTGAGAGATTATATGGATGGGTTGGGCAGGCTATGTAGCACCGATACCGATACGGAACACGTGACATGACACGACACTCTGACACATTAATTCTAAAAAATGTTAGATTTCGACACGTTAGGACACGTTTTGATATTAAATAATATTTTTAATTTATGTAGTGTATATTATATTTAATATTCAATAATTTAACAAAAAAGTGAAACTAAACTTATAATATTCATCAATTTTGCAAAGAAACATAAGATATCCCAAATATTTTTATTAAACTCAATAAAATGGTAATCGTAATCCAACGAATCTAATAGCTGGAACCAAAAACTCAATGCAACGCAACCTTTGAATCTTTTTTTGAATTTCTATAACGCGTGTTGGAGTGTCAGGGAGTGTTGAAGTGTCGGAGAGTGTCGGACACGACACGTCAGGGTTTTTGAAGTGTAGGTGCTTCATAGTGGGCAGGTACTCATCATATATAGATATTCTCTCTATTTGAATTAACTGCTGATTTTCCCTAGGTTACCTAGGTAGGGTTTTAAACTTGAACTGAGGTTGGTAAGTGGCAATATTTCTAGGGTCTTGAAGTGTATTTTAATCCAACTAATTCATTACAGCTTTTTATGCTAAGCTCAATGTAAGTATACTTGCAATATCTGTGGTGAATCATTGTGGGAACAATGATTATTGTTTATGTTTGCTTTTATATATGCATGAAAATTCATCATTGACGATGGCTTTTCAATTAAGTTTTCATCCTAGAGCACTTGCCTCTGGAATTTGGTTATGAATTGAAGATGATTTTGAGATATTTTGTCCTTACAATGAAGATGGGGTCTGTCTAAGGCCTTTTACATTTGTCATATGGTTTAGTTTATGTTATTCATTCAACAACTTTTGGTTGGCAGACCTTTGGATGGACTCCACAAGAAGCTAAAATGCACATGGTCACCGACTATTTTAGTCATTCTGAGGTATGAATATTATGTATCTTGAAATTATTATTATTTTTTAATTTCTTATTTTAGTTCCTCAAAATTTTTACAATTTTTAGTTATTTCTTAAATTGCAGTGGAAAGTGATTGCGGAGGTACTTGGGACAAACCCTCGACATCTATTTGAACTTTATGCACTTAAACAAAGCAATTATTACCAGAAGTAAGAGTTATTTTGCACTATTATATTATACCCACATTTAATATGCAGTCTAAGCAATGATACACTTTCAAGAATTGTGTGCAAGTGCTGTACATTATCATAGGGGCTGTATAATCTTTTCACGTAATTGGTGCTGTTTGTCTTACTAGCTCATGCTCTTATTTAACTGTAGGACAACAGAAGACAAGGCTAGTACCTTTGAGGACATTGTAGATGCATATTTAGCATATTTGCAAGTAAGTTCCAAATTGAACACGAGATTACATCTTTCATTCCAGACCCTATTAGGTCTTCTACTGCAATAAAAAGATAAAAAACTACTAGTGAATCAATAAATAAATTTATAAAAAAAATTACCTTGGATTTAGATTAAAAAAATAACATTCATACAATAAAATTTTCTCATTGATTACAAACTACTTGTGAATCAATAAGATTATTAAATGAAGAAATTTTAGATGATCATATTAATGATGGATTTAACTTCATTCGTTTAGGATTACTTCAAATTGTAGCAAAACCTTTCAGTAGGCTTGGGATTAATTCTCCAATAACTATAATGTTAAGTTATGAAAAGGCTTATAAATTACGCAATGCAGCTATTTTAGAATAACATGTTCGTGATGACCCCATCGACTTTTAATCGTTATCCAAATTTCTCCATGAATCTTAGAATCCCTTTACAAAAGATGCAATAGAGTTAAGTGGGGGCGTTTGGTAGAGGAGAAATTTTTTTTTAGCCGGGAATCTCAATTTTCAAAAATATGATTTTTACATTTAGTTTATGATAATATCCGTAAATTTAAAATTTAGAAAAATTCAGTTTCCCGGGAATCTTCGAGATTCCCGCGTACCAAACGCCAAGGGATTTTTGTAGTTGATAATTAGTCAATAATTTATAGAATTTATTATAAAGTCTCAATCCTCTATTATTACTTGGGAACTCTCCCTCATGCAGAGGAGGTTAATTAATGACTTGTTTGGAGGCTCCTCTTGCCATCTCTGTGGAATTGATAACATAAAACGCTGCACAACTCCATGGAGATTCGCTAGGTCTTATGAGTTTTTTTGTCTAAATAATTTTGAATTTCTTCTACAGTATTCAAAATATTATTGACTCAAAGAAAATCATGTGTGGGTGTGTGTGATTTTCCTTTTTCGGTGAATTACATATACCTCTCTTCAAGTTTTAAAATATTTCAAATGCCCCCATTAGAAAGTACTAAATTAAAAGTTCTCCCTCTAGGACGCAAATAAATGTTGAATTTGTAAGATTGAGAATTTCAAATTAGGGGAATTTGTTATATTAAAATAATTAGAAAGAGAGATTCTTATGATTTACCTTTCTTTTTTTGGGTGGAGGGGAGATTTTTGATTTGTGATTTTGGAAACCTTGGAAGATGTGTTTCTTTCGATTTTTCTTTTTGGCAAGTTAAATTATTTATGTAATAGTCTTCTCACTTCTGCATGCATGATTAATGGTGATAACGTTATCCAACTTCATTTAGATTGCCGTTGTGAATCCTGCTATGGATAGAGCATTGGAGATCTTGCAAAAATTTGCAATTGATGTATGCAACGGAAAGGTTTCAAAAGACCGATTACGTTTTGGTGCCCCCTGGAGGCATCCACCACAAACTGATGACACTAAATTGCGCATGGAGTGGGCTAAGCTTCAGTTAATGGATTTTCTTCAGTCTCTGGTTAATACAGAATTCGGGGTAAATTTCCTTATCTTTTTCATTTAATATCTTGTCCTTATGATACAACTGTTGTACTGAAAAATGAAAGATTCTGGAGTTATACAATATTTGTACATTGCAAATGCAAACATAAACCACCACTTCCCATTAAACCCCGACTAGCGAGGGTGGGGTGAGGGCAATCTTTATATGCTGACTAACTGTAAAGAACCATTTCAACCCAAAAACTTAAGCTGTTGGGTGAGGCTACATTAATGATTTAATATATCTCTAACACGCCACGCCCTCTCACACGAGAGCCCATTGGGCTTGAAGGATGGATAATGCACAGGCCCCCACCTACCTGTGCTAAGAAACTCCACAAGACTTAATTAATTACTAATTAAATGGGGCGGTAAGGATCGAACCTGTTGACGCCGAGGCTCTAATACCATGTAAAGAACCATTTCAATCCAAAAGCTTTAGTTGTTGGGTGAAACTATATTAATGATTTTATATATCTCTAATACTAATCCTTGCATAATTGCGAAGAGGCTGTTTCTCGGATTTGAATCTGTGACCTTTCAGTTACAAAAGAACAATTTTACCACTGCTCTAGATCAAATGCAAACATAAATATGATAAGAAAATGCAAATTCTTTCGAGTTTTTGTTTGTTAAAGAGGACTTTTTAACTTTACTACCTTACTTACAGTGAGATAAGTATGAAAAGTGGATTCTTATATGCCTGGGAATAGCCTGAGCTAAAAGGAATCTTTTATGGAAGGAGCAAACGAGATATTTGGTAAAATCTGTGTCTAAACTACCCAACGTAGACTGGATTATATAATCAAAAAGGTAATAAATACTGATATCATGTTTATCATAATTACCATAATTACATGATTGTAGTTAGTCTATACAATGAACCTAGACACTATTTACATGGTTTCCAACAAAGACCAAAGGACCAGCTGCAATGGAGGCAGCTGTTGTGATGAAGGGTAAACTAGGGTTGATTGCTAAAGTAGAATCTCTCAAATTGAGAGTTCTAATACTAACTTGAATGTGAAAAAACTAAAACTGAATATTATTTCTAAACTGATTAATGTACTCAGTTTCATTACAATATGTAGCAAGATAATTACTTGCCTAAATTTCAGCTAAATCTAACACAATTAATAATCTATCCTAATGAAAAATGATAATCTATCATAAGAACCATACAATTTACAATAATTACAACAATATCATATTTTAATGTGCAAGGGACTGTTATAACAGATTGGTTTTCATATTTGTCTAATTAGAAATATTTTATTTTATTTTGTTTTCAGAAATCGGTCTTTGAATGGGGTTTTCTGTCTTCTACAAACTTTCATTCTTATATAGTTATTAGAAATTTTGGAGAAAATATAATTTCAATAAATTATTTGCATATGATGTATATCTGACCCAGAAATTCCTTATTACAATCTGGTAGACAATTTAAAGGTGAAAGCAAATTCTCTTAGAGATTTCTATTGGTTTGGGTCATTGATAAGAAATAAGAAGGAAATTTACGTTCTTGCTTTGGTTAGTAGAATAGAGAGCTTTCTAGGATATAGATTTTCGTGTGTAATCTCGTAGGATGGGAATGGGCCCAATGTTCATTCTCCTTCCTCTTAAAATCAAAGGAATCTGCCAAACAAGTTAAAGTGTCCCTTATCCTTTCCCCTCTCTTATCTCCAAAACTCAGTATCGGGGTGTTTTTTTTGTAAAGAACTATTTCAACCCAAAACCTTAAGGTGTTGGGTGAGGGTCTTTTTAATGATTTATATTATATTCTCTAACACACTCCCTCACGCAAGAGCCCTTTGGGCTTGAAGTGTGGATATGACACAAGTCCATTATTGGTCTGCCTTGTGCTGCACAAGCCCATTTTTTGGTCTGCCTTGTGCTTTTCTTAATTCCACCTGAAAGGGGGAGGCGGTGAGGATCGAACTCGTGACCTCATGGTCACTGAAGCACTGATACCATGTAAAAGAACCACTTCAATCCAAAACCTTAAGGTGTTGGGTGAGGGATCTTTTTAATGATTTATATTATATTCTCTAACATTTTTTTTTTTTTTTTTGAATTTTCTTTTGAGCTTGCTTTACCCATCATAAGCAGTTTCCCTCCTTGCCCTTGTTTTGTTAGAATTGTGATACAGATCTCTATTGAAAATAAGGAACAATCAACTAATAACAGAGAAACCAAGACTTTTTGGCCTGAATAATCAGATTTTTCATATATTTATGGAATTCAAGATACAATTACAGATCCTATGACATTAAACAGAGACAAATTACAAGAAAAGGAACAATTACAAAACTGGAAATGCATAACAGTAAAGGAAATACAATAAAGGATAGTGGTGAAGCAATTGGAGAGGCTTCACTCTCTCCCAAGAGTCCAATTCCAATATACTTTTCTGATGCCCCACCATGTTGCCTTCCCTCTGTATATAACTAACTTCAAGTCACCTCCATGCTCTCCATTCTGTTACGGGGTAATTTGGGAAACTCCTAGCTGACGTGGCATTAGTTGTGTGTTTGCTGACTAGGATCGTATCAAATTGCATTTAAGATTTTAGAAAGCGATTAACTATTGGCTATTTCATGACCTAATATTTTATATTAAAGGAAACTTAATATAATGTCTCATATTAAAAGCTGAGAAGGAATAAACAAATACTTTTTCTTTTTTTCGATAAATTTGTTTTGAAGATTTATTTTTTCAGACAACTTATTTTATGTTACTAAAAATATTCGAATACAATCTTCATGGAAGTAGTATCCGGTTCAATAATTGGATGTTTATAGTGCTGTAAGGTACCTTTAGTTTTTTGACTTATTGACCATGTAAAGATTTGAATGGCATCTTTTTGGTAATACTGATAGTTATCTTCATGCAGGTCAATTACCGAACTGATTATAGTGAAGAAATATTTGATGATCCATCAACTGTTGCATTATTAGAGGTACATTATCTTTGTTTATCTTAATAATATTTCAGAAATCCCAGTAGCCTATCATGATTTTCCATGCCATTTTTTATATTACTAACTAGCTCATTTAGTCTGAACTTCTGAGATGTTTCAGATGATCTTTAGCAGTAAGCTACTAGGACTGGTTTAGTGGTGAGGGATTTGGGTAGTCTGCATGATGAGGTCATAGGTTCAACCCTCAGTGCTATCATTATATACAAAAGAAGAAGAAGAAGATGATCTTTAGCAGATACTTTAGAATTGTATGTTTCAATGAGTTTGTTATATTTTGTGTTTTTTACAAAAAGTGGTTTATTATGGCTACAATTTTTATTTGAAAATCCACACCATCAAATAGAAGCTTAAACGAACTACTGAATTTTCACTGCAGAAAATAAAAAACAATAACGACCTAACTTATCCCTTAGTTGGGGTGAATTAAATTAGTCAAATGACACTTAACCTCAGAAAATTAGGAAACCGAAACTCGTGATTTTATTATGAGAAGTATACAACAACAGCAACAGCAAAAGCTTTTTCCCATTAAGTGGGGTTGGCTATAAATTTTCACTAGTATGAAGGCCTTAAACTCCTTAAAATATATTTGTAAAATTTATTAACACCATTTACTTATATGCATTGCCAAGGAAAACCCGTGCCAATTTTCCCCTTCTTTGTGGTCTTTTGTAGGTGGGATTGCTTTATGCTCAACGGGATCCACCCTTCCTTCGTCCCATATCTAAAGGAATTCAGAGGTGTCTAGTGAGATGGTAACTGATTTTCTTTAGATTCAATGGGCTGATTATAAACTGTAGAGGATTAAGATACTTATTCAAGCTGATATTTGGTTGCAGGCTTGTCCAGCAGCGGATGCAGCTGGGGTTTGACATTTTAATTCGTTTTCTGTGGCACAGAATAATACGTGGACGTTACTATCGCCATTTGATGGTACAAGTAGGCTATAAGTAGAACATGAGAGTAGGTAAAATGTTTTCTCAATCCTTTTCACTTTCTTTCTGGCTGTTGTCTTATTAAATTTGAGACTAACGTAGCATCATTAATTATTGGTCACTGTGTTGATCGTTGACAATTGCTGAGATAATATTAGATGATTAAGGGGGAACGTGTCTAGTTCATTATCTATGATTACAGTGCTGTGGCATTCTAGAGCTTAAGAGAGGTTTCAACAACTTTAAAACCTGATATGTAGACGGGTAGAAAATGAGGAACATAGAGGAAGTCCGTTAGGTGAATTTGGAAGCGTGTGTGCTATGTGTGTTATTTTCTTTGATTTTTCCCTTTTTTAATTTCTGGTGGTGGAGAATGATTTCAGTGGAAAGATTCGAGTTTCTTAGCTATGGTTTAAATGTTTAATAGTTTTGCCATGGAAAATGACAAAGTGAGGCAAGTCTTCTACTAAGTTCATGGAAAGATGTGTAAATATGTTTGTTATGGTCAATTTACTGTATGAATATTGAAGAGCGTGCAATTACTACATGCTGTTTATATTTTGTTTACAAATTTTTATTGTAGATATTTGGTTAAATTTTTTTGTTGGATAGATTCTCTGTTCCTTATATCCGAAGATGAAATGTATTTTAAAAATGTCACATTGCATTATGCTCATTGTAACTTCCTGCAATTGATAATTCGGTACTTTGTTCTGGTACAGTTTTTCTGAGTTTCTGCCTTGCAATTTTTACCCCCTGCAGATGCTTGCCAACTGTTCTTAGGCATTAGTTCACCAATGTGAGATTTTGTCCTTATCTTAATATGCATAAGCTTCTTTTTCTGTTCATATCTGTCTTTATAATATTTCAATTTTTTTTCTGTATATTATTTCTATCTTTTTTTGGTTGTGCATAGCGAATGCTGTTGAGTGCTTGGTTATTTTCTGTTTTTTTCAATGAGGTATTTCCGCTATATAGGTAGCAAAGGAAGGAAAGAGAGAATAAGAACTAAATATAAAATTTGATTTATTATTATGTGATGAAAACTACAAAGCACTTATCCCTATTTATATTAATACTATCCTAGTTAAACGAGGAAACAAATCATGAAATATAAGGAAATACAAAACCAATCCTAAGAAAAATCATATAAGATACTCTAAACTATTTTAAGATATAATCATGATATTACAAGATATCTTCTAATTATTTTAACACTCCCCCTCAAACTAAAACTTACCAAGCTTTAAGCTTGTTACAAATGAACCCCTTTTGAAAGGAAAATAAACAAACAATATAATATGAGACAAGGCCATACTGAATTTGAGACAAAGATCGAGATCGAATTGCGTATTTGGGACAACAACTGACGGGGCTAGACTGCATCTGGGACAAAGATTAGGAGGGCCAAATTGCGTTGTTGGGGCAAAGACTAATGGGGTCAGACTACATTTGGGCCAAAGACCAATCACTAGGGATAGACTGCATATTCGGGACAAAGATTGGGGCCAGATTGCATAATTAGGACAAATTTCTCCCCCTTAATGCTATGTTGGCTTTGAAAAAGAGCCAATTAAACGAAAGATCTAGAAAGAGGACAATAAGGCAAGTCTACTATGTCAAGTTCACCAAACAACGCAGTAAAAGGTTGGGCATTGGAGAAGAAGGCTGGGCGAAACCCAATCAAACGAGGGAAGACTGTGGGCAACTATGGCGCATTAAACGACTAGGCAAACAAGTCATGCACGTGTCTAGATGTGGTTGCAAGGCCGTATAGAATGAATACAGACAAACAATGGGAATGGCACATGAGGTGGTTGGATGTGAGACTTTGACAACAAAGAGTTCAATAGACGACGAGTTTGGCAGTGTTGGTTGCGGCTGGAAAGGTTGTTTGGAGATTTTCTGGTGGTGGAGGCCAGAGAATGTAGACGGTGGCCCAACTACTGGAATGATGATACGATAGTGGACACTAGCGGATGACAGTGAGAAGGTTGCTGGAAAGACAACACGGACGGCTAAAGGCAAACCCCAACAAAGAGATGACTGATTGGAAGGGAAAAACTAGTCATGGAAATAAAGTCGATCTCAAGTTTTTAGGGAACTCAGTAGTGGAGTAGTGACGAGACAGGTCACAATTGATGATACCTCTCCTGTACCATGTTGTAATTATGGGGATATAGGGAGGACAGGAAGAAAATAGAGAGTAAAGAATCAATAATATGAAATTGAAATTGATTTGATATAATAATGTGATTAAAACTCCAAAGCACTGTCCGTATTTGTACTAATATTGTTCAAAAGTATTTGTATAGATTGTTTATGTTATTGTACCATATCATGTAAATAAGGTCCAAGCCTATGTAATTCTTTATTATGAATAGATCCTTGTGTAGTTTGAATAGACACAATCCCTCAAATATAAGTTGGTACCATAGCTCACGTTCTGGGATGCCTTGCTTCCGCGAAACCCTAATCATATCAGATGTACAAAGGGAAGTAAATAAAGACTTAATATAAAAAATATGGTTTGACGCACCAGAATCGAGAATCTGAGGACCAAGAGAGTGCGACTAAGAAAGGATAGCAAAGGAATTACCTGTGTGTGCAACAAAGACAGTGGAACCAATAGCACGTTTCTCCTCATACCTTTGCATGAAGTTAGTGAGAATAGATGGAGGTAGTTGTGGGGTAGCTGTTAGCTGAGTGTCCGAGTAAGAGGAGGTGATCTGAGCAACATTAGTTGAGCAAGGAGGGCGACCATAAAGATCCTGATACGATCCTTTCTAAGATGAGGGTGCACAATAGGCAGCGATTCAGGGGATCAGCTACTCAAAGTCTATTATTGCTGACTCAGTCATATTAGAAGAAAATATTCGTTCAATTGTGAGTAGCAAGGAAAACGATTAGATGTGAGAAGCATGCTGAAGGCGCATATATATTGCTCTGTTTAGAGTGTGGAGGATCATCTTTTGGGCCATTTGGAACCTTGGGCACCTTAGGGTGATTTGGGAGAGACTGGGGGCTCTAGAATTCCTCTAAAATTATCCTTTACTGATTTCCTTACTGTTAGTTAATTTTCAGTTCATTGTATTTTTCTTTCTTCTTGTAATTTGTCTCTGAATTACTGTATCAGTTGTAATTGTCTCTGGAAAAATATATAAAATCCTGATTATTCAGGCCAAGGATCTCTATTACTGTACTTATTTTAGTAATCTGAGTAGAAGGTCTTTAACAAATGGTATCAGAGCTATCCGATCCGGGTAGCTTTGAACCACGCTGATAACAAAAAAAAATAAAAATGAAAGAGCAATTTCAGAAAATGAGAATTCCTAAGTTTTCCGGTGAAGAAGAAGCCTAGGAATGGTTGATTCAGGTTGAACGGTATTTTAAGGCATATGGAATTTCTGAAAATGAAAAAACGCAAGGAAGCTGTGAAGGCGTTCACTGGTGAAGCTCGCATTTGGTATCGATTCTGGATCTGGCAAAACCCAATGGCTAGCTGGTGGACATTTTTAAAAGCATTCTTTAAAGAATTCCAATCGGAGATTTGCTTGGAGGATGATGAAGCTGAACCAGAAATAAAAACAATAAAGGAAGAAAGGAAGAGCAGCATAGAAAGAAATACAGAGATATTGAAGCGCATCAATGTTCTTGAGAACACCATCAACAAAAATCAAATTCACAGAAGACAAGAGGATGGAAGACAAGGAAGAACAGAGGAATCGAGCCAACGATTTTCCAACAATTTTCAGATCTATGACAACTGGAAAATGGAGAAAAGGAGGATCGGAAAATGTAGTGCAACCATGAGAAAAATCAGCTGCTGCAAACGCATGAGAAGCGGGAAGAAGAGGGGCAAGCCAGGTCAGATTTACAAAAATTGAGCCAAGGTACTGACGTAACGGGCCAGGCCCAAATTGCTGTTAAGTTTCTCCAAACCCAACTCAATGAAACCCCTGTTTTTTGTACAAATTGGGCTTGTGAGTCACATTATGCAGATCCAACAAAATCACCAACAGAGCCTACATCTGGCCACTAATGGAGAATCACAAGCCAAAGGAAGAGAACCTGGACGAAGAAAAAGAAAACGACGTACATGAGGCACCGCTTGAAGCTGAAAAGCCACTTGAGCTCAAGTCTGAAGCGAAATCAGAACCGCCTCGACCGCCAACAAAGGAGAATTCAGATTTGATGGATTCATTACCTGTGGTACCATCCCTGCAATCTGATGTCAGCACCGATGCAGTGGCAGCATTGCTGTCTAGACACGTGCGCTAGACTACGTTATTCGAATTTAAACAAAGATATGTTTTCAGACATGCCCATATTCTTCTTCCATCCTTGTGGTCTCTTTTTGGAAACCACCCGGGAACCACGTGTCTGATTCAAATGGTTGTAACTTGTTGGGTGGAGTATGTTTTAATTTGAATGAGGTTTTTGTGTGGGACCCACTGGTGCCCTGTTTCTCTATCGATGTGGGTGAAGCTATTGATGATATCGGGGGTGCAGGTCAGGGCCAGGGGAATATTTGTTATGTTGATGATTATGAAGATTTTTGCCTCGAAATATTTTGTGTGCCCAATTTCGTTTGTGTTTTTTGTATTAAAAATTTTTCATATGGAAAGAACCACCTTGTTGATGCTTTGATGAAAGAGGTGCCAAAATATTCTAAAAAAAATTATGGAAGTTTTGGTGGAGTGGTCTGCCAAGATAGGAAGAAAAATGTACTGAACACGAAAGTTGTGGAGTTAGCCAGGTTGAGATGGGTAGGGAAACTTAGTCGTCTTTTTTTTGGGATTATGAGTGATGGAACAATTCCTTGTTATCATGCTTGGCTTTATGAAATTCCACATACGAATTCTAAAATGGGATGCATCTCTGACTTGCCTATCTATAATCCTCAACTAGTGGGGGTTGCAAAAGAACAATGGCATCGTGGTGAAAAATATGATACTTCAGTTCCTTTCTTAGAATCTGTTATTAATGGACTTAATTCAGAATTAGAGACTCAAAACTCGTGCAATTCTGTCCAAGATACCGTTATTGTTCTCTAATAGTTTCGGAACACAAAAGTCTAGTGTGATATATGTTGTTTTGACTCTAATGTATGAAAATGATACTATGCATGCCCCATCAATAGTGACTGAGGCCAAAACAATTGGGCATCGTCCCACATTAGCTGATATCACAACAATTAAATTACTATGTAATGTTGATGGAAGTGGTACACCATTCCGAGTGAAAAGAAGGGGCCAATTGCTTGATTATATTTTAACTTTGGTGAGTCGAGATGACAATGAGGGCACCACGGGTTATAATGAACTTTTGCATACTCAAGCAATTGCTCTAAGCGCTTACACTACCTTGCAATGGGATCCTGATGGAATTGTCATGCATTGCGGTCCTTACAGTTCAAGCAATGGGATCCCGGAGGTAACATTCATTATTTGTACTCACCTTGAGGACAAGGTGATTGTTTTGGGAGGAGTATTGATACGATCTTTCTAAGATGAGGGTGCACAATAGGCAACGGTTCTGGGGATCAGCTACTCAAAGTCTGTTATTGCTGACTCAGCCATATTAGAAGAAAATATTCGTTCAGTTGTGAATATAGTAAGGAAAACGGTTAGATGTGAGAAGCATGCTGAAGGCGCATATATATTGCTCTATTTGGAGTGTGGAGGATCATCTTTTGGGCCATTTTGAACCTTGGGCACCTTAGGGTGATTTAGGAGAGACTGGGGGCTCTAGAATTCCTCTAGAATTATCCTTTACTGATTTCCTTACTGTTATTTAATTTCCAGTTCATTGTATTTTTCTTTCTTCTTGTAATTTGTCTCTGAATTACTGTATCAATTGTAATTGTCTCTGGAAAAACATATAAAAACTTGATTATTCAGGCCAAGGATCTCTATTACTGTCCTTATTTTAGTAATCTGAGTAGAAGGTCTTTAACAGATCCCAACAACGATCAATAGTATGGCCCGACTTGTTGCAGTGAGTGCAATGAGGGCGACCCTTGGAGGGTTTGAGTCCGTGACCAGAACCCTTGGAGACCTGGGTAGAGGAATTAACCGAAGAGGGAGCAGACGTTGTAGGTTCCTTAGCAGGTTAGGTGGAATCCAAATCGATGTAGATAAAACAGAATCCAGTGACATAATAGTAGTGGAGCTTAGAATCTGATCCCAATTGGCAAGGTTCTCTGAGGGCAAGCCATAAAGAGCTAGTAACATAAAGGTGTTTCATTGCTCAAGTTCCTTAGCACAGTCCTTAGCAGGGGGTAGAAGCTCATTGAAATAGTGAATTAAGTCATGAACCTTCCCAAATACATAGACAGAGATACATCAAAATGTTGAGGAGTAATAATAGCTATCAAATTTTGACAAGCACCAGAGTCGCTGAATTACATTAGTATAAAGCGCCTTGGCTTGATGCCAAGCAGACTCAAGTAACATGAGCATGAAAGATATTCTTTAATGGTGGGTGGATTGTGGACTTGATGATGCTACATAATTGAGCAACAACCTTTTTCCACCAAGGGCTCTCATCTGCCGGAATAGACTCAGCCTTAGTGATGAAATGATTAGCATGATCCGTCCATCAAGCCAAAGTTTGAGATCAGAACCTTGTGGTTTCGACTCCATTGAAGTTTTCCCGAAAAAATTTTCCCTTTCCGTTGCTGTTAATGCTTTTTTTTTTGCGTTTTTTTCCCTTTTTCAGGTGACCCATGGTTGATTCTCAGCTCCATGATGCATCTAAGGGTGTTCCAAAGCCTGAGGCACCAATTCTCACCAATTATGTTAATTTTCCATTATGCACGGACGAGTTGGATGGTTCTAACTATGACTACATAATTGGAATCAACAAGAGAGGGCGAGCCTCTTCGTCCATGCCATGCGTGAAGGGACATCCCATGTGCCTCCATGCGCTGCTGCATATTCTGGAACAATGTGTTTGTCATGCGCGTGAAGGCGCGTGGATGGGTTGTTCAGGGTGGGCCCTGGAAAAAAAGAACCGGTTCGTTGCAATGGTCAGATCTAGGGGTGATTCACTGGAAAAGTCATCGGCGGTGACTGTCAACAATGACTGCGACCAAACAGTATCTGAGATTGTTGTTGGAGGTAGACGGAAGCCGAAAATTGACGATGTGACAGTTTTTGGAAAAAAAATTACTCGGTGGATAATGGGTCCATCAGAAAGACACATATTAAGGTTCCTCTAGTTAGGCTCATATACCGTGTTAACTATTAAGGCCCGAGAGGCATATATTGAAATTCGTGTGTTAATTACACAATGGAGGCTCTATTATATAACTAACTAAAGGAGAAAAATAGTGAGATATATATGATGTGGGATTTCTTCCTTTTACAATAAATTTACTTTTTATACTTCTATTTACAACAAGCCGCTTCAGTTTAGTTTTCAAGCATTTTGGCTTAACTTAGAGCAAAGTTGATCATTTTGTTTTCTATCAGCATAGCTCCCCGTGCATCTATCTCGTTATATATGTGGATGACATTATAATCACTAATGGTGATCTAGTTGAATTTGAATAACTGAAATAATACTTTTCAAATATTTTCATACCAAGGATCTTGGAAAGCTCTGTTATTTGTTAGACATTTAAGTTGAGCAATCTAGCATAACGTTTCCATTCATAGAGCAAGTATGCCTTGGATACCTTGAAAGAGATTAACATGTTAGGGTGCAAGCCTATTGATACACCTATGAATCCTAATGTCAAACTTCTACCTGGATAGGTGGAACCACTTACAAATCCTAGTCGTTATTAGAGACTAATTGGGAAGTTAAATTATCCTATTGTAACAAGACTAGATATCTCTTTTGCAATGTGGAAAGCCAATTCCTTGACTCTCCATGTGACTCCTATTGGAATGCAATTGTCAAAGACGTATTATATGAAGATAAGGGACATATGGAGGTTTGTGACCATACATATGCTGATTGGGCAGACTCTCCCTCATATAGACATTTCACTTCAGGCTACTATGTTCTCTTTGTAGGAAATCCGGTTTCTTGGAAAAGCAAGAAACAAATTATGATAGCCATACCAAGTGCAGAAGCTAAGTATCGAGTGAGGAGAGATGCAACTTGTGAGCTGATCTAGTTAAAGCAATTGATCAAAGAACTAAGTCTCTATGAACAACAACCAATGAAACTGATTTGTGACAATCAGGTAGCATTGCATGTATTCTCTAACCCAGTCTTTCATAAAAGAACCAAACTTATTGAAATTGACTATAACTTTGTCCGAGAAAAGATTCAATTTGGAGAAATCGAGATAACATTAGTCAACTCCCATGATCAAGGTATAGATATTATCACCAAAGCCTTTAGAGGTTCTTGGGTTGACTATTTTTGTAGAAAGCTTGGTGTGTACAATATATATGCACTAGCTTGACGGGGAGCGTAAAATGTATTTATATTAGTGTGCCATATCGTCTTAATAGATCCTTGTGTAGTCTGATTAGACATAGTTCCTCAATTTAAGTAGTAATATCCTAATTAAATAAGAAACAAATCATGAAATATAAGGAAATATGGAAACCAATTGTTAGAGATCAGCTACGATACTCATAATTTTTTAAAGATATAATCATAATATTATAAGATATCTTCTAGATATTCCAACATTTATTATGTTGCTTTTATGAATCGATCTCCTGTTGGTGCTATAATTTTACACTTGTAGCGATACTGTTCAAATATTTCATCCAAACAAAGTTTATATCTACTACTCATTGTTTCTTCAATGCCTCTAAGCAATGTTACTGACTGCTTCTATGACACATGCTTTTTCAGATCTAGGTTTTTGTGTGCCTTGTGCTTAATTTTCTGTAAATGACAGCCTCAAAATTCTGATTTCAGCAGTCAATAATTTTCTGGCTCGTTGAATTGATTTTGGATGAGATGAGGTCTCAGTGCAACTATAATTTGAAGTAGAAAAGGTCAAGGAACCCCCAATTTGGATTGACGGATTTCTCTGCTTGTTTCCAATCTGAAGTTTCAGAGAGGTGTTGAATAAAACTGAATACATTTGTACAAGTTAAAGCACATTTCACATGAATGCTTGTAAGTTCATGGGCTTCCAAAAAGGTTTATTTATTTATTTATTTTTATAATTTTTCTATATATAGTGAAACAATTTTTCAATGCTGATATGGCAGTCAAATAGATTGATTGGTTTATAATTTGTAGAATGAGCTGATAAGTTCGATTATTGTTTATCTTAGATTTAGCGTGTAAGTATATGGTCAATTGTATATCTTAAAAGTTTCTCAATTGTATGTTAGCTCTTTATTTTCACCTTGATTGATTGTGACTATATATAAATAAGAGATCAGTTTGCAGACTATTACACAATTTCACTTCATCTCTCCATCAAAACCTAACACCAACTGTTCAGTGGTGCTTTCCTCTGCAGTGCTCGATTCCGGCAGCCATTTCCTCCATTGTGCCTCAATTCTGGTGAGTTCCTCCTGCCGCTGCCTCCATTCTCACCCACTGTTCAGTAACCAGTGGAATCTTCCTGCATCCCACTATGCTCTCATTCCAAAGTTATCCCTTGGTTGAAAAGTTAACGCTCATTGTTCCGTGGCTGTGTGAATTTCTAGCATTGGAGCATTGAAACCAGAAACTGCATGGATGTACAATGTTATTTGTCACTGTATGAAGGGTTATTAATATCTGTGTTCTTACAACCACAAATTCTTTAAGCATAGGTATTTTGCATGTGTTTAGGTTTGGTTTAAATTGTAGAAAGATAAAACAAGCAACAAGACATGTATAATGTATATCAAGCTCTGATTGTGCAACAAGATGAAATGATCTTATGATGATTTCATTAGTCATGCTTAAGGAAGCTACTTATGAATCATTTGAACCAAGAAATGATGGTTTTCAGTTTTGATAGCGGGCCTAGCACTTATGCATTCACTCCTTGGTGCCTCAACGTTAGGGTACTTGAGATTCAGAGTGGGCTTATTGTGATGTGGGCGCCCAAAACTATCACCTATATGATGCCCTATGAAAAAAACCACAACATGTAGAATTCATTTACAGGGGTTCTGAAGGTTGACTAAACATACAACCATGCTGAACATGCCATCGTGAGGCTGGAGTTCTTTGTTACCGAGAGGTCATGACTTTGAATTTAGGGAAATAAGTTTTTTGCAAAATTACAAATTGATCCCAATAGAATCCAGTATAATGTTTTTGGCCTGGGGCACTGTAACTAAGGAAACAATATTAATATAATAAAGAAATGAAAATAAGAGATAAAACAATGAGGCATTCATTGGAGGTCCTTAAACACCAAACAAAATGAATGAAAGAACTAACATTAACTAAGGAGAGAGACAGGAGAGCAATTGAGAGCCCTTGCATGCTTGTGCTGGAGTTTGATTTTGGTATCATGTTTATCATGCTTTATGCAGTGTGCAAAACCCCAAACAAAAATATTCAATTCCCCCCCCCCCCCCCCTCTATCTCCCTTTATAAGAGTAAACAACTACCTCCTCTAGATATTGCATGTTGAAAGTATATGGGATAAGTCATGATTTGAATGCACATGCCAATCCAAATTAAAGTTTAATACTCATGTCATAGTAACGTCATTTTGGCGAAGAAGGAATTAAAACATAGGCCAATTATTTTAGTCGAGTATCATGGTTTTGTTGTATCCATATTCTATAGTAGAAGCTTCTTCCTCTTTTTATTGCTTATTACTTATTTCTTTTTGACCTAATGGAATTATCTCGTAATGAATTAATAGTATAGATGACCTTACTTTGTGTCCACCAAAATCTCCTTCTAGTAAGGTCTAATTTTGTGCTAGCTAGTACGACTTATGTTGGTCTTATTCTTCTTTTAATTTGGTATGAAGTTTAACGTGATTTGTTGATTTTTTTTACTAGGGGACTTCATGGCTGTTGAGCTATGGAGATAGAAAAAAAGCAAGGTTATTATTCTAGTCAAATTCAATTTCAACACCTAGTATCATTATTATGCAGCACATATCTTTTTCTAAATTGTTAAAAGTGTGAATCAAATTGAACTATGTAAAAATTAAATAATGCAAGGAATAACATGTGGAAACATAATCATGCCACAAGCCCAAAGGAAGACTCAGTAAGAATTAAAAGATTGAATTATATAAGCCTTTAGATTTGGTCCAGTGGTGAGGGACTTGAGTAATTTGTATTACGTTATGTGTTTAATTCTCACATTTGTATAAAAAAAAGTGAACTATATAATAATATAAACAAGAAAACAACCTTTTAAATCGTTTTCACTATTAAAATTTAATAACAACTTCAAATATAAAAAACAAAAAATCACAACAAATAGTACTCATGTTTTCCTCACACTTGCACATTTTTATTATCTTTTTTGTGCTACATTCGTTTCCTATATACTGTTATCAAAGTCGGATCGATCATCGACTTAGTTGGGGTACTGAGTCAATGGGTCATCAATTCAACTAGTAGGTTACTGGTTCAACCACATGAAATATATATAACAAAATACAATAAATATAAAATTAGAAGCATTTAAGCTAATAATTAGAGTTGGATAAATGGTAAGTGCTATAAGTTATAATTTACATGGTTTAGGTTTACATTTCATTAGTAGTATTTTTCAAGTTTTTTGTCAAAAATTTCACAAAATCAATTTTTAAAACAAAATTGATACCTCTTTAATACCGGTTAAACCTAATTTAGAAATGGTTCACCGATTTCATACCGGGTCAAATGCATGACCGGTCCAATACCTACTCACTTTCAGCAAACTTAACATATACAGATATACTTACCTGTATATAATATATCCAAATATTTAACTGCATAACCTCATATTAGAAATAAGTTCCAAACCTGTATATAGTGTTTTCCAACATAAATGCACACATTCACCATCATACCAAATATATATAGATGTATCAACTACATCTATGTCTCGAAATACAGATAATATCTGAAATATAAACATATATGCACAATCCCAAAACATCAGTCTGTCAAGTTGATCCGGCTATGTCTGCTAACCATCCTTCTCAAGTCACTTTATCTTAAAAGATCCAACGTCCGAAGGAGCACCTGAAATATGCCCTGAAACGCAAGGTGAGATATAAAATCTCAGTAAACTTGGGGTTTATAGAGCGATCTCCACCCTTGAGTTCACTTCCTGCATAATTGGTTGGCACACATAGGACAGCAGAATCATATGATTTAACATATACAAATTCATCATATAACATACAACAAATAGCATATAGAATTCTTTATAGTTAATCTAGTTGATTTTCACCCTAAGGTTAATTACATATAATCTTCCTGCTTTTTCAAAGCAACTTATTGTATTTAAATCAATTAACACAACTACAAATATTAATCATGTAAACATATAATCTACCTTCAAGTATCTGTACTTTAACTTGATAAACTATTCATAGATCACCATTATTCATTGTTTCAATTCCTGATTATCACAATCTATACTGAAATCATTACACAATTTAAATGTTATGGTTCATACGGATGCTATCACCTGTGTTCCGATAACCTGATACTCCCAGAGTAATATCTCTAAGTATCATAGCATCATCCAATATTTTCATATTAAGTTATCATATCTCTTTCAAATCAAACAATGATAACTTTCCACCTTACACATCAAATTAAATACAGATAATAATCACACCTCAATTAACTATCAAATACAGTCTTCATCAATATTAACACTACAGAACTTACAAACATATTTAAAATGAACAAATAACAACAAGTACCAAATATCAGTAATAGATCACCCAGAGTTATTTGCCAAACAAGACAACACAACAAATACATTAAATCAAAGAGCATAAAATATACATAACAATCCACTCAAACATATTGTAGAAAACACAATATCATGTAATTAGTATTTCTACACAATATTCTAAATATATAGATATATCACTGATCTATAGAGTAGGCGGAACCAATCGAAGACCGGATGCGTTCACTGTAATAATTAATCATATTCCACTATAGCCACCCGTCATCCAGATGCACTCAACTTGTACAACCAGATTATTCATTGGCCTTGTATTGTACTGGAATATACATACATATATATATATATATATATATATATATATATATATATATATATATATATATACACCTTATCAAATATCATATTTTTTATAATCACATTATCAAAATATGCACTTTAATTCAAACACACAATTAGTGTATCCCTTTTTAATTAGAGTTTTTTCATAATCCGTAATATATGTATAAAACATATTACATATATTTTAACACTTGTCACACTACAATGTATATACATATTCCCCATCAAATCATCATACACACCAAAATTCATCACCACATTGCACTTATAAAACATCAAACATCAGACTTGTCAGACATATCAAACCACCAAAATTTCAGACTTATCAGTTTATCTCAGAATTGTCAGACATATCAATCATTTCATAATTTATCAAACATATCACACAGTTCATAATTTATCAGATATGTCAAGTTTTTAAACCTATTAACATCATCGGATATATCAAATAGATCAACACCATTACTTCACATATATTCACATTTTATTTACTATATGAATACAACTATACTAGTGTCTAACCACATCATTAATACAGACATAAACCATCAACCCACTGGGTTCTGGTAGAACTACAAGCTAAGAGAAAACTCCTTAAACCAAGAGCTTACTTGTTAAGCTTTTCTCACAAGCAACTTGATCCTCCAATATATTTCTCCTGAGTCAACTCTAATAGCATAAAATAAAACACTATCAATTACTGAATAAGTGTCACTTGCAATTCACAAACATTTTACATGTTAATTCTCCAATTAACCTAGGTGACTTATATAGATTCTTTATCACCAATTACTTGAATTAAAAAAACCTCCCAGGCTATACATCATGTGATGGCCGAATATTGGGCTAGTTAATTCGTTATCCTTACATTTTTTTCATTCACCTTTTCTTAATCCATCACCTAGCTTAATTCAAGTAGTTATCTATAAAACAACTTCCAATTCCATTAAACCACTTAATAATTGCATATAGCATGGATCAATTCATGAATTTGCCAAGCTTTTAATAACTCTTTAAGGTTCCATTGGCATTTTAATCACCATAAAAATCATTGTCAAATCATTTTCAATGATATCTTTCTTTAGTTACCCTAATTGTCCACTTTAAACTCCAAGTGACCTAATTAGGTTTTCAAATGATCCTTTCATTATTCTAATCATGCAAACACATCTTAAAGTTCATCAACATTAAGTAAACCATGATCAAACATGATTCCGTCCACTTTATTTCTATATGGCCGATTTGACACTAGCCATTCTTTAAGTTTTTACATCTTTTTCATGAACAATAAATACTCCATTCACCTAACAACTTATTACAAATATCATTGTACATTTTAAACTCATTATATTCTACTTACACGCTCATTCAATGGCATAGCCGAATTGGCTATATACATAGGTGTTTATAGTTTTTCTTCAATTAAAACCCAAATCCATTTACTCTAAGCTTCCATTTACTTGTCCATAATCATGGTTTCATATTGATAAAACATCAAAGACATGATACATTATATTATCCATGCATAGGCCGAAACCCAAATTAGAT